TAACTAAAGTTAATTTGCACAAAGCCAAAATACATAATTCTGGGGAAGTTCAATAAACAGCATACCAAATAGACTGAAACCATTTGTATCTTGTGAATCTACCGAAGTTGAATTCTCTAAAAGATCACATTTTCCAACAACAACACAAGAACCCCAAAGCAATGTTATAAGCATAACAGTTGATCCAGCAAGCAAACCCATTCCAATCAAGACCTGATTCTGTGCAACTTCTTTGCTCCCAGACAGACCAGAAACTGCATAGTTTGTTAGTAAAGTTGTATCAGCAAAAGTACATCAACTGTAACATTGAACAAAAGTATCATTCGCCAAATTAGCTAGTTTCGATAAACTCATATTTCTCTTACTTGTAAATTATCATCTCATGATGCACAGTTTCTATTCAAGAAAAAGCACCAGTAACTTTCATCGCCAGAATTTAGCTACAATCGGCTGAAACCACCTCATAACCTAAGACTAAAGAAACTGAATGCCTCTTAAAGTTTTAGTCATATATCAAATATTATAATTGTAAAAGTGTCTTTGCAATGGGGATGAAAAATTTTCCTTTGACTTCAGAGAATTTTCCATCACCATTTTTCCTATTTCATTTTTTTTTTATTCTTCTTAACAGGATGTCTCCGTTTCCATCACTCCTTCACGTTCTTGGGCTCCGGAGGAGACAGTCCAGTCACACCCTAGGTGTATTCTTGACCATTCCCACATGAAAGGATGAAGTACTCGCCACGATTGCGCTTGCCCATTGACGACCCCCTTTACTAGTAACTATTCGACCAATTTCCTGATCGTAATCCTTCACACAACAAAGAGATTCTAATACGAGCTTCCAAAATTTTCGCCAACACGATAAATTCAAGCAAGAAAGGAAAATACAAACTCACACAGCACAACGACAAAACCAAACGAAATCATATCATAAATAGGAAAATTGGCATAGCAAGAAACAGATTCCATGAAGTTTCACGCGAGTCCAACCCACATCAGAGAGATGACGACCAGAGGAACAGAAAAGCAAGAAATGATCTACCAAGAATGAGCAAGGCGTCAGGGAGAGCCCCAAGAATCGGGAGGAAGAGGCCCCCCACGATCCCAGGGCCCAAGATCTCAAGCAGCATCTCGCTCCCGGCCGAGAGGCACGTCGCCGCCTTATACATCAAGAACCCGTACACCAGCACGAGGAACAGGTTCCCCGCCACCGTGGTGGTGCAGGGGAGGAACCCGTACGAGGGCTCACACGCCTCCGCAGCGCTCCCGCGGGGGAGGACGAGCAAGGGGCTGTGCTTGTACCCAGCAGCGGCGTAGCCGGAGATCCCATCGGAGGCCGGCAGCTCCATCGCGTCCCCATCGGACGGCGGCGAAATCGCGCGGCCGTCGACGCATCGGCCGGAGAGGAGAAGGACGAGGAGGGAGAAGACGAAGGCAAGGAGGAGAGGAGGGAAGTCGACAGGTCGGTGCCGGTGCGCCATCAGCCCAAAAAGGTCAAGGCGAACTGATCGAGAAGATGAGGCCGCTCTTAGTAAACTAACAGAAGTAACTTTTGCAAAGAAGCCCACAAGTCTTTCGTTATCAACTTTGATGTGTAAAATTTACGAAAAAGTCCATTGACTTCCTTCAATTACTTTATTTACGTGTATATTGAATGAACTGCGGAGGATCGGACGGTTGTTATACACGCATGCAGCCGTCGTTTCTTTATAGGTGAATGCCAATGAATGCAAGAGAAGACGAGACTGGAGATGGAGATGGATGCGCTGTGTGTGTCGCTCGTTCTTCTCTCGTCGGAGCGTCGGCTCGCGTGGGGTCAACCGGGCTGGCGCGGCGGTGGTGGGGACGGTAATGGTTTCGCTTTCCTTGCGCTCCTCTCGTTCGGGCAGTACAGATTGGAGGATAAATAGAATAGACGTGTCCTTTAGTCAGATCGGTACGGGTTTAGATTGTGTTCTACTCGTTGGCTCCACTGTGGGCCCCGGAGAGATTTCGGATAAGAATCCTCTTGTAAGTATTGGGATAATATTTTGTTATCCTTGACGAATATTATGTTAATCATAATAAGAAATGAATTACTTAAAAAACAATGTTACCGGAAGGACAAGGAATTTTAATATTTAATTTTTTATTATATAAATATCTTATGTATTCTAAAATTTTTGTAGGAGGATTCGAAAAAATATTTTGAATATACATGTAATTTTGGTAGGTAAAATTATAAAAATTAAGAAAAATTATTTTCAAGATTTAGCTGAGAAGGTGTGTAAGAAATTTTGATCATGAATTTAAATTAATTTAGGGGAATTTTTTTACATTACCTATATTTGATTATTCTCTTATAATGAAAAATCTTGACTTTTTTTTAGAATAAAGATAAGAAAGATTATTATATTTTATTATTAACTAATTATTATAAATAATAAGTATTTTATGATATCTAAAGTTAGTGTCTTAGGTGGACTAAAAATCAATAAGTTGTAGTGAAAATTAGATTTCTTAGTTTTACCAACTATACAAGAGGTGAGAAATACTTTGAGAATATTATCTAGTATTTTTAGAAAGGATAAAAAAATATAAATTCTTCTACGAGCTGTGCTGTATAAGAAAAGTATACAAAATTAGAATTATGTTCAAGTGAGCAAAACTCTGAGCTCATATGATAAAAAATTTGATTGGATATAGACGAAAAGTATCGAACCGCATTAATCTTTCATCGATTTTCTGATATATTATTTATGTCTAGATTTTTTATTTTTAAAATTTTTTTATCCCTCCCGCACACTAATAATATAACTTGTTCTTATCCACATGAATATCTTTTGTTGATGTATAGATTTCTCTTTTATTTTCAAAATTTTTTTATTCCTCTGCACACTAATAATATAACTTGTTCTTATCCACATGAATATTTTCGATGAGGAAAACAACGGCGGCTGAACTATCTACCACTCATTCAGTAACAAAAAGACTAGAGAAAGAAACGAAACGAGAAAGTTAAACATGATAGGACTTTAAATCTCTAAATCACTTGTACTACACAACTTTGAGTGTGACATCCGATCCCTGAGTCATCTTAGAGCCAACCAACGTATGCAAGTAAGCTATCATCTGCATCCTCCCTCCTCTCGCCACTCTATTCCCAGTCTCCATCTCATGGCATGGCAAACTCTTCACCAGCTGTTTCACTGGACGGTGTACCTCTTTCTGTGAAGGTTGATAATTAGAGAATTTTATCTTGTGATTCTCAGGATCAAAACTTAAATGTATCTCTCGATGCTTTGTCTGTGTGGTTGTAGATATAATAAACCTATAACCCCTCGTCTACTAGTGTGTATGACCTCTAAAGAAACAAGTTTCACATTGTCGTGTGATGCTTCAAGCTTTACGGGATGGTGGTGGAGCCGTGGAGATTATTTGAACTATATTATCCACATCTCATGTCTTCTGTTTATACGGACGCAGAATCAAGTTTGTCCATAATAATAAGTGCAACCTCTTCGAGTATATCTATCTTCGATCACAGAAAATTATATATCAAATTATAAATAATCTAAAATTATATTTCAATAGCTAATTTATAGTTATCTTTTCGAGCATTGAGATTCGTAAGTATCCATTTTGGATGAATCTGCACAGTTTTACTTTTTGTAAAATCTTGATATTTCTTTACTTCTCAATTGATATAAAACTAAACGTATTTACTAATTTTCTTGTTATTATGAGAGTCGATGTCGATAATATTTAAATCAACCTGACTTAGTTTGACCTTGTGTTTGCAAAAAACTTAAGTGAAGTCGAGAATGTCTTAGATGTTCGATCGAATGCTAGTCGACTAATAGAACCAAGGTTGGATAGAGTTGTCGATGTTGTTCCATCGACGACGATCGAAGTCAATCATGAATTGAAATTTAAAATTTTTGAGCAAAACAATAGTTGACCTTAATTATTATTGTTTCATAGGCTTTTATAGTTGATTTAACGAGAAGAAATATTTTACAGTATGTAGAAAAATATTTCTTTCAAATTTGATATTTTGGATCAATGTTTAGTTGACCTAAAATAAAATCAAGGTTAGATAGAGTTTCCGACATAGTTTCTTCCACAATCCAAGTCAATCATGAAATAAAAATTAAAATTTTGAGCAAAACAATAGTTGACCTTAATTATTATGGTTTTATAGGCTTTTATAGTTGATTTAACAAGAAGAAATATTCTACGGTATGAATAAAATATTCTAATAGAAAAAATATTCTTTTCAAAAATTTATATTTTGGATCGATGTTTAGTTGACCTAAAAAAAAATTGAGGTTGGATGGAGTTGCGGACGTAATTAATCGAACAATCGAAGTCAATCATGAAATAAAAATAAAAATTTTCGAGTAAAACAATAGCTAATCTTAATTATAATGGTCTGATAGGCTTTTATAGTTGAATTAATGAGAAGAAGAACAATATTCTAAATAAAAATATTTTAATAAAAAATATATACCTTTCAAATTTTATATTTTAGGTGGATGTGTGTGTAGTTGGCTCAACTATTGACAGATTCCTCGGATGAATATTTTCCCTCTCATTTTCTTTTTCTCTTCTTCTTCATCATTATTATTTTTTTATTTGGATTATAGAGGCATATTTTATGTTGCTTAGTTAATCCTGATATTGTTAACCTGCTTTTTTATAAGCTTGTTTTAGCTATGTAAAGCGTTTTGGGCCATTACACGATACGCTTAATGATGAACTTTTTGATCCCTAAGCTTGCGCAAATCGGTATGCATTTATTATATAAAGCAAATGAAGAATTTATGTCATGATATAGTTGTTTGTTTTTGTTTTTTTAAGTATTTTACTTTGTTGAAACACTTTTGTTCTTGTCGCAGTGTGAGTTATCGATACACTGCACAACCCTCGTTGACGAAACACAAAACGAAAAGGAAAGAAGAAAGCATGGTATAGAACTCTTTGTTTATTAGAACATCAAGACTGGAATTCTGCTATTAATTTTCCTTCTTTTTGCAATACGCAACAACAAATAGGAAATAATTGCAAGATGTTTACAGATTATTCTCCAAGTCTCGAATTCCATCCCCTTGCAGTGGCCTTCTTCCCGACCACATCCCTGGAAACGACGACGATGACGACGTCTCTCCGATGGTCGTCGCTGAGGAGGCAGACGAAGTCGCAACACTCCTCTCGCTGGATTCGGCCTCGGTCCGGCAGACCGGGCACGTGGAGCTGGAGAGCAGCCACCGGTCGATGCACTCCGAATGAAACGTGTGCTGGCAAGCCGGCAGCATCCGCAGCGTCTCCCCTTCCTCCACCGTGCTCAGGCACACGGCGCAGTCCAGCGACGTCCACTTGCCCTTGCCGTCGCCGTCACCATGGCGATAGGCGAAGGAAGGGAGAGCGGCGACGGCGGAGGGATCGAGGCCAGCCTTGGGTTGTCGGTCATGGGCAGGGCCTGCGGGAGGAAGCTGAGGCAGGAGACGGTACCGGACGAAGACGAAGACTACAAAGAGGACGACGAAGCCGCTGAAGGAGAGGCCGATGAGCTCGATGGTGGCTTTCAGATTGCAGCAGGCTGTTTGGTCTGCCATAAGGATCGCTTCGCCGTGGAGAACTCACCTTGCTGTTTATCTGCGAGTGATGGCATCCGTGGAGGCATTTCTATCTTTCCACATAGAGTTGACTCGACTCGGTGCGATAAGAACGGTAACCCTTTCTTCTTCTAATCCACATAGGAATCTCCGTTGATTCGTGCTTTATATTTAGGAATTAGAAAGGAAAGGGATAGATACATATAGGTCGAGCTCAGCCTTCGCCTAGAAAAGAACATAAAGTATATATATCTTATGAGAGAGATGATACAATTTGGAAAGTAGCTAAACTGTGTGCTATGAAGGTATATTTCTACGGCTGTTTGCCTTTTCCATGATTATTCTGCAGGCACGCAGCGGAGTTTTAGTTGCACATCCAACCTACACATACTTCGATAGATACATGGAAGATGTATATCTGAACAACAAATAAAATATAGGAAGCAATCATAGCTTACAAAGTTGGTTTCGATCTTCAACTGGTTGTTGTCTTGTTGATGATAGTGAAGAATGAAATGAGGAACCGAGCTGGGGGCTTCTTCTACGAAGCCATATGCGCATCTAAGAATCGGTAACGTTGATCATCCACTTCCATCTTATCTGTCAGGGAGTCATAGAGAATGTGCTTGACGAGATCCTTTCTTGAGATTTCAACCAGAAACGGGACATAAAAGTTGTACTAGTCTGTTGGTGTGCGATCTATGGTCGAGAAGAACACGAAATGGTAAAGCGATGAATGAAGATCACCAGAAGAGTCACTCATCTTCAAATCCATCAATGGCGAGGAGCAGAGGAAGCAGAGGGAGGCTTGTCGGTGATGCTGTCGTGTTTCTCTTCCCCTTGGATTCGTGCAGGGATGTGGAACCCTGAGAAACTGGCAACGGACGTGAATCCTATGGGTGACGTGCATGGATGAACCTTTGTTTGCACCCGGTGATCAGCTCCGGCGTCGACAGTGTCCTCCCGGGCATGAACCACGGGCGAGTTACCGGACTGAAGGGGCCCCCTCTGAAAGAAAAGCTGGCTTTGGCCGAGCACCGAGTGCAGTGGCACCGCCGAACCGAACGCTTCTTCTCCACCTCCGCCACTCGATTCCACCACATTCCATGGGACAATCCGCTGGTTCTGTTCGGCCAAACCGGTTGAGACGGAGGCTGCGTTGAATGCCAAATTGGCGGAGCTCAAGAAATGAGCATCGGACGTGGCAGCATTTGGGCTCCGGAGGCATTGGGCGTGGTGGTGGTGCTGGTGGCCGGATTCCAGAGTGTGAAAGACTGGGTCTTGGAAGGATTGGAGGGAGAGGCGGAGGTCTTGAGCTTGGCTACTGGTTCGTGATGGAAGGTCTGACAAGTAGCTGTCTAATCTGATGGAAGGGGTAGCAAATGGAGCCGTAGTAGCAGAAGCCACCATGGGGCAGAAGAACTTGATGACATCGGCAAGAGTTTCGGAGTCCAAAAGCGGAGCCCCAACTGCAAATGGCTCCTCGCTAAACTCCGTCATGTTCTGCTCGGTGGAGGGGAATTGATCGGACGGCGGAGGACGGCAGGAGGAAGATGCAGTGTGGGGGGCGGTGAGCTTGGAAGCAGAGGGGGTCCAGGGAGGGAGCTCGGCGAGCTTGTCGATGGCGGCCTTGGCGTTCTTAATGAGCCAGTCGACGGCCTTGCTGGGACGGTCGTAGCCAAGGCGGTCTTGGACGTCGTAGAACTGGATTGCAGTGTGGGCGGAGAGGCGGACGCGGCGGTCCCGAAGGCCCTTGGCGGTGCACACCTTGCTGTGGCGGTCCTTGCGGCCGGTGGACCGCACGATGTGGCCGGCATGCACCTCTACGATCTCCCCGACCGAGCCGCCCCGCACCCAGTCGTTCAACGAACGGTTCTGCGGCCTTTGTTGATGGTGGTGGAGACTGAGCTGGTTGTAACCGAGGCCGTGATGGCTATGACCCTTCCCCATCCCTCTCAGGAAGGCGGACGTACTCGGACGACGAAGCCGTGGCAGCTGAAGACGAAGGAGGAAAACACAAGCTGGTGGTGCATATGATGAATCTAATTGAATGCGGAAGATACTAATTCCTTCTCCTTCGTCTTACATTCCTGTTCCAGCCTTCGATCCTACGGACTTACGGCTAGTAGTAGATTTTGTTGACCTCAGATTCCTTTTGCCGCCCGCTTCTTGTGCTTCTCCTGCCGCTTCTTCCAAAAGTTCTGAACGTCCAACTCCATGTATCCAAACACCCATTACCTCAGCTCTTAAACCACCACCAACACAATCCTCTCTGAGATTAAAACATCTAAAAGGAACACAAGGAGCACAGGGACTTATCACTGCTACTTCAGCTCGGATCTTGCAAGGTGATCAACAGCACGGCCGAGGACAAAGTAGATATCTTCGACCTGAGACTGTTTCAAGAGGAGAAGCACAACCGGCGGAAGAAGAGGGTTTGGGTTTTCGTTGGAGGGAAGCAGATAGAGAAAGCTTCGGGTGGGCCTGCACCTAATATACGAAAGAAGAACCCAACCTGTCGATGCCAGCTTTGGGAAGACGGTAGGGAGAGACAGTGAGGGAGAGGGAGGAGGAGGTGAGAGAGGGCAAGCGCTACAGCTAAAGGATCCTTACGATCGCACCCATCTCCCAGACAAAACCCCAACAACATCAGCAGCCTTAGACTGCCGAGTTCTCAGTGAGTCGTTGTAGAGCTAAGAAAAAAGCGCAACGTTCCTCACTCGATCTATGTTTCTCTGTGTCTCTGTCGTTTCCTTTGGAGCTTTCGTCAGTGAGTCTCGACACCTTTTGCTGTTCCACTGACTCCTTAATACTCCATTGCCAAACCGCCTTACGTCCGTCCTTTCCCCTTCTCTTCTCCCAAAGCCACCGTCGTCAACTGTAATTTAATCGGATCCAATGATCGTCCAATCTAAATCTAATTTAATTGGATCACTTTCACCACAATCCGACCCACTAGCTAATGGACCGGGTTCAAAACCAACGATGTGTTTATTGGCGGGTCAGGTCCGGTTCATTGCATCTCTGCTCGACACGTCCCGTTTCCCCGTTCCCTGTGGAATACCACCGTGATATGAAACGGCATGACTTGGAGGTCGGCGCTGACGAGAGCTTCGGCCATGGCGGCATCCGCCGGCCCAAACCAGAACGCCCTCTCCAACCTCGCCGCGTCGGGCCGCAGCAGCCACCGGCTCCTGCGCCTTGCCGAGCAGCTCCGCCTCTACCGGCCCTCTCCCCTGTCCTCCGATGCCGACGAGACCGTGGTCGATGACCGCGGCAAGGTCTTCTCCGCCATGGCTCTACTGGAGTCTGCCGCCGCCGCCGCCGCCGCGCACCTCACCGGCAGCGGCGCTACGGAGAAGCTCGCCCCCAAGCGGGCCGCGGTCCTCGTTTGCCTCTTCGAGGGCGACCGCGGCGAATTTCGCGTCATCCTCACCAAGCGCTCCTCCAACCTTTCCACTCACTCCGGTGCTTCTATTCTCCCTTTATAAACCCTGTTTGATTCCATTAAATAGGGGGACCTTCAGCCTGGGGATGGAAGGTGTGACCTTTTCGCCCAATTTTGGGATGTGGGTGCAGGTGAAGTCTCGCTTCCAGGGGGCAAGGCGGACGAGGGCGATGCGGACGACCGGGAGACGGCATTGAGGGAAGCCAAAGAAGAGATTGGGCTTGATCCGTCCCTTGTCACCATCGTCGCCGTCCTCGAACCTTTCTTATCTAAGGTATCAATAGTCGTACCAATCTCAAAGATAATTGTCATATTTTTCGACTGTTAATAAGCAAATTTGCTCAATTTATCATCAATTCAGTCTACATAGTTTCAAATACATATTGATCTGATGCTGAAATTGAGCAGGCAACAGGGGGTAGGAGCACTTGAAAATTATTATGACTGCATACTTTAAATCGTGAATATTACTATTTGCAATCCCTTTTTTTTGTTATTTACAACCCTACGTTAAGAAATTTGAATATTCCTAAGGTATCCGTTCATCAATAGACATATATATCTCCTTAATTTATAACTTAATTATAATAAAATCTTTTCACTCCTTGCCTATAATCTCTTTTTTTTTTCCTTATTCTTCTCCTCATCCTCTTAATCGCCAAGGGTGTCATAAAATGATGAGAAAAAGACGGATGATGAAATGAGACAAATTGAAGATTGAAGAGGAGGAAGTGAGAAATAGTTTTTAACGTTTGTTATAATGATTTAATATTTCTAGGGTTACGTACGTTCTGTAATAACTAAGAAGAAATAATTTTCTAAGTCAGTTGCAATAACCTTGAAGATGTTATGTTCCGGGCCTTTGCAAACGATCCTTTAGGGTGCGCAGGCAGGAGCTGTGGAGAAGGAAGAAAAGAAAAAGATGAGGGCAAAAACAAAATTAAAACGGTTGTAAATAATAATATATTATTTTATTAATTTTTAAAGGGATTATGAATAGTAATAAGGTTGTGAACAGTAAGAAAGCGGCTCTAAATAGTAAGCTCCTAAATCTTTAGTAATTGAATACATATAAGTTGCATTTGTTGCTGAGCTTTCTGGGTTGTTCTTACTTCAGTAATCTGTTGTTGGGGGAAGGATGTTGCAGGGGAACTATATACTGCACATAATCTATTTCTTTATCTACTTAAATTGACTGGTTGATGGCAAATCAATTGGATGATACATGGGTCCAATAATATAAGAGACAAAAGCTACACATAAACATTATTCCTCATTTGAATGATCTCCTCACCCGATGTTACATAAATTCAATCATTCACTATGCAGTTCAGGAGCTTTGGAGGAAAAAAAGAAGTGGCTACCTCAAGCAATAGATTCTATTGCTGATGTTTCTGATTGGAATAGGATCCTTATTTTGCTAGTGAGGTTTTCCAAAGCTTTATTCTCTGATACACTTTGTACCATCAACAAGCATAATACACATACCATTAATGATAATTATTTGAAGTGCATTTTTCAAGTGGATCATGTACAGGATACATGATATACATCTCGACTGCAAGTACCACAAAAATATAAAGATGTAACAAAGTATTAGCACTTTTGTGTTTGAATAAGATCAGATCAACTAAATGCAAGTTTGTGCTCACGCTGAAGCAATCAATTGCCTAGAGGTTGTGGCTTGGATCTTAGGGAGTAATAAGTTGTCCATGCTTGTTACTTTATCCCGGGTTCATCTATGAAACATGAAGAAGTGTCTGTAACTTCAGCTTCTTGCAGCAACCAAACTCCCTTTAATTGCCTTAGACATTGCAGCATCTTTTGAGACTCATCCCTGTATTCGCCATACCAGTGACCCAACTCCTTTTAATTGCTTTGGACATCACAGCATCTTCTGAGAGTCGCCCCTGTAATCGGCATACTTCCAAACAAGCAGGCATTCAGACCGGCTGCAAACACCTCTGAGGTGGATGAAATATTCGATGTGCCTCTGGAGATGTTCTTGAAGGTATCTTTATTTTATTTTATTATTTTGTCGTAGTTGTCAATACACCATTCTTGATTTAAATATTTGTTTTTAAGGGTCCTACTCATTTCATTTGCAGGATGAGAACCGGAGGTCAGAGGGAAGAGACTGGATGGGAGTCAACTATCTGGTTCATTACTTTGATTACATAGCAGGAAATAAGAAATTTGTGATATGGGGTCTGACTGCTGGCATTCTAATTCGTGTTGCATCAGTTGTTTATCGGAGGCCGCCTTCTTTCATCGAGCAAGTTTCTAAACTATAGATCCCAGGTTTTACCAATGGGAATTCTTTGGTTCCAGCTACTCAAATTCCATTATGATGACAAAGCAGTAAATAGAACTGTAGTATTAATTGTAAATTTCTCAATGGCTTTCTGAATCTGTCTGCAGTATTCTTATGTTCTCATTCAAGGGAAAATTTATGGAAGTTGTCAATAATGTGGCCAGTGAAGTTGTTCCTTGTCTTAAAATTCTTAAAGCTGGGAAGCTAATCAATAAATAAGCAGGCTAATTTTATTTTTATCTTCCTGTCAGATGTAAGAAAGAGTATTGGCAATCAGATACATTGCATGTATGCTTTTCTCACTAACTTATTAGCAATCCTGACATGTTGAGATGAAACATAATAAAATGATATGTGGTTGATGTGAACTGTTACTTTGTCGATTAAGTATATAGTATTTAGATTTGAATCTACCATGGCATTCATGAATGACTGAATTGGATTCTTCCAGCTTCAATGTGCTAGTGAACTTAATAGGACTACAGGAGCTGAATCAGGATGATCAAATAGTCAGTACATCAAATCATAACAGTACTACACTCAGCATGATATCTCCCATGGAATTAGCTCGCAAATATCTTCATGTCCGCTCTGAAGCTTTGCATCACCTTCTCAGGCAAAGAAATCAGCACCTTGAATCCATTCTTCTTCTCCACCTCATCTGCGCCATTAGGCAAGAGAAAACAAGGCTCTAAGCTGCCAAGCAACCTCCAGGAGAGCGGCATCACGCTCACCGGACCACCCCACCCGAAATCGATGTCGGAGTGGCCCAAATGCCTCCAATCCGTGAAGGCGCTCACCCGCTTCCCGGCTGTGATCCCCTCGGCGTAATGGAGTTGTTGGAAGTCGATGTAGGACCTCACGTACTCATCCGTCACACTCTGCTTGCTCGCCTTGATCGACCTTGCCGTCTCCCACAGTGGTTGCTCCATTAGTTCTCTGACGCTCAGATGGACGTACACCGGGACGCAGACATTGCCCCAATACCCCGCGGGAAGTGCCGGTGCCGGTTTAAGTAGCCTCCTTATGTTCATGGAGTACACCAATTTCACGACCTCGTCCTGGGGAGTTCCTGAAGCTTTGATCCTGTATTAACAGGATTCTCATAGCAGAAGGTTCCCATTTGCACCATTCCAACAGAGTGAAACCTCTGAAGAAGAAGAAGAAGAAGAAGAAGAAGAAGAAGAAGAAGAAGAAGAAGAAGCGGACGTACCTGGCGCGCCATATGTAAGCACTCAAAGCTTCGAACGTGGTGCAGCTAGAACCGGCCTCCTCCGCGAGCCGGTTCCTGAGTCGCTCCATGCACGCCTCGCTCACATGGAAGCACTCCCTCACCAGCGGACCCTCGATGCTCGCTTCCACCACGTCGTACGGTCCGGAGCGGGCCACGTCGCCGTCGAACCCCAGGACGTGGCGGAACAGGGGCACCTCCACCCGAGCCGGACTTCTCGGCCCCAGCAGCTCGGCCCGCTCCCAAACAGGCTCCACGGCCGGCCGCTCAGCCCCGCGCGCGAAGCCCGCCACCGCGCTTAGGAACTGGGTGAACCCGGCGCCGTCGCAGAGGGAGAGGTGGACGCACGCGCCGAGGGCGAACCCGCCGCACGCGAGCCGAGTGACCTGTATCGCGAGCGGGTGGGCTAGCGCCTCGCCGGGGGCCGGGTCGGGCGCGAACCGGTCGAGGAGGGGCGATCCGGGCCGGGCGCTTAGCTCGGCGAGGGTGAGCGGCGAGGCGGCGCGGGTGAAAGGGATGCCCGTGGCGGGAGGCCTGACCTCGTGGCGGTTGTCGGAGGGGCGGCGGAAGAGGGAGGCAGCAAGGGGAAAGAAGAGAGGGAGGGCGGCGGAGAGTGCGGCGGCGACGACGTCGGCAGGGTCTGCGGCGGAGGGAGAGGGAGAAGGGGCGTAAAGGCGGAGGGTGCGGAACGGAAGGTGGAGGATGCGGTCCGTGTCGAGGTGGGAGAGGAGGAGGGGTTGGTGGCAGGAAGGGAAGGGCGAGGAAGGGTAGACGAGGGTGGTGCTCAAGATCTGAACTTCCACCATACTCTCCTCTTTCTCGTGGAGTTCGCCCGTGTTTAGCCTCGGGAGCGAAGCTCAAAAGCGAAGGTTTGGCGGAGTTGGGTGGATGCGTTGGGGCTTGAAGCTGTCCAAGTGGATACTGGAGAGCCAATACTGATGTTAGGTGAAGTGGCGAAACGGGCTTTATACTTAATAAAATAAAATATTTAATCAGTGATAAATAGAAGAGTTATGATTTTTTCATTAAAAAAAATTAACGATATACGAAAAAAAACGAAATTAAATATTTTACTTTCATAAGTATAAAGATCCTAATATAATCTTTTAAATATAAAAATTAAAATACTAAAAATAATTAATTATAAGATAATATATAATTAATCCTGACGAATTATCGGAGGAGATGACGTTTTGACCAAAGTCACTACATTTAGCAATAATCAACCTAAGACTGCATTTGTAACAACAGCATGGAAGTGTATGCATGTTTTGCATGGGCAAAACAAATAAATACATCCAGAAATCATAAAAGAGTCTCAATTCAAATTTCATCATAATCTCATAATCCACAAGAGCAATTAAAAGATACATTATCATATCAATTGTTGCTTCCCTTGGCTAATAATACATGTGAAATCCTTCATTCTCAAGCACAACTCACTCTGTTGCATGGATGAAGAGGCTTAATGGGTGGCGGCAGCAACAGCAAGCCTCAGTCACAAAATGACTTCAAAGGATCATTGGGATCCATGTCAAGAAGGTCTGGCAGATCAACAGGCAGGGCCTCCAGGCTCAGACCTTCATCACCAAGCTTCTTCACCACCTCCTCAAACAAAACACTGTTGCCACTAGCAGTGAAGTGCAAGCCATCCCTGATATCACAAGAAGCTATCATATATAGCTGTGGCATGACACCGATCCTCTAGATTTATCACTTTTAAAACCAGACCAGCAGAGAAGCAGCCTATGATGTTTTTAGGCAGATCCAAACAAGTGGATATTGTGATTTTGACCAGATCTAGTTATTAAGGATCAAGAGCATCATCCAAAAAAAGCTGCACAAAACTTCACTTGCGCTGCAAATAAACCCTAACTAAATTGGAACTCAAATCTACATTACATGCTTTCGCGTGGACAAGTGGAAACATGAGAGAATGTCATAACCAGAATATCAATGGCAAATAGAGGGAAATTATTGGTCAAATTGTACAGGAGAGCATGTCTTTAGATGAACTTGCAGTTTGAAACATGTTTACCTTAGAAAGGATTTCTCCCAGTCTGGAAATTGCAGCATTTTTGACCAGATATCTATCACTGGGAGCCCCAATTCATTAGCAACGGCTACACATGCCTTTGCATAAGCACCAGCATACTCATTGGTCCTCTCAGGCAGACCTGAGCTGTTGTCTCCACTAGTATCCCTAAATGGCACAAAACTAAGTCAAGTAGACGGTACCACAGTTCTATCTTCACTTGAAAACTTAGATATAGCTAATTATGTGAAACCACAGACACGCCTTATTGATCATTCCCTTTCTACCACTGGATATCACAGGGACAAGTTTAACAAAGAGACCAATGGAGCACATATAATAGAAATTGCAACAATAGCTGACAAGATAATTTCTGGTAACACTTTGGAGGAAATAATCCACTTACCGGAGACGCCCATCTTCATCAATTGGAGGTGGCGTAATGAGGATTATAACAGTTGATGACCACCTTTCCTGTATCAAACACAGACCAAAGGACCAAACAATTAGAAAAAGTGGATTCATTGAAATATCAACAAGCCTACCAAAGCCAGGAGATTATGAAATTTGTAAGAACATTAGACATTGTGCATCTTCGATTCTATTAGGCTTTTTGGTAAACAGCGATCATGATTGCATTTTGTGACACCCAAACAGAAGGCTAGAAAAAAAAATGGCTACTTTGGTGATTCTTAAAGGTTTGATTCATTTGGAATTGCAAGTCGATTGAGTCTTGCAGGTAGTGATTGTCAGATGTAGGAAAATTTATGTTAACAAGAGTCAGCACAACAAATAAAAATAATAATTCCAGGGCTCTGACGACTGGATTCCACTTCTTTGCCTTTTCTTCTTCTCTTAATGCTTGAGCCAAACTGATGCATGGTAGATCATTTTGTATGGCCATATCAACCCAAAACATCTGAAATTACACATACTACAAAGCCTATTAAACATGAATGATGCCCACAGAGTAAGTGGTTGAAGTGTGCATGGGAATCTAAACTAATACAAATAATAAAACAAGCAATTGGAGTTTCATTACTGTTCTCGGGAAGAGGAGGAGGATGCAGCTGTTTGATCGCTCGAACTCAAAGGCAAGCAAAGGGAAGAGGATAACCCAGTGTCTGCCCAACATTAGTATTTGCCGTGATGAGACAACCCACATACCCTGAGATAGGCGCAGATGGCGCGGAGGTTGGTCTGGTACTCGGGTAACGGCACGTGCTGGAAGCCGCTGCAGCGGTCGGGGAGCGTCGCGTCGTTGGCCCCGAAGAAGACGGTCGCCGCCGCCGGCGGGGCGACCCCATCGGGGCAGACCCCCTCCATGGCTCGTCCCACCACCTTGAGCGCCCACCGCGTGTTGTAGCCACTGTACCCGCGCAGCACCACGTCCGCCTGCGTCCCATCCGATCGATGGATCGGCCATCGGATCACACGCAGAAACCATGGACCAAAACAAAACCAGAGGCGATCGACCAGTAAAGCGAGGTTGTCGCGATTGTGCTTACCTTGCGGGAGAAGCGGTGGGCGAGAGCGGCTCCCCACCCGCCCTCCCCAAAGGACTCCTCGGTGATGGAGTCGCCGAAGAGCACCAGCTTCGGACGCATCTCTCTCCCTCTGTGCTCCCCGATCCGCTCGGCTGAAGCAGAAGAGCAAGAACGTCAAAGACGCTATCCCTCGCGACTTCAGTGACACCCACCCTTTTGTCATGTTCCTTCTTGACCCAGTCAGTCATATTGATTGGAGATAGATCTTTAAGGTTGGAGGCGTCCGTACAATGGGGATGGCCCCACCATATTATTGGATGATCACTACCGTCGGTTTGTTTTATGGGGAAGATGCGGGAGCCGTCCAATCTCATCATGGGAGAAGTAGAAGCACGACACGACACGTGCCGCAGTCGGAATACGGTCCGGATGCAACACCGTTGCTACGCGATCAGGTCCGTAGAGAGGTCTCATCACGAGAGCCGGAGCCCTGATGGACGCGATAAATTGATCGTACAGTACACCACGACAACAACAACAACAGAGTGAATTAGACATTATTAGTACCGAATTGTTGCCTATCCTCTGATGTATCTCTCTCTATCTGCAAGCGTCGTCCACCGTAGAAATTGTTACTTGCATCACACCTTGTAGTGGCGATAAAACAAAACGGAAGACGTAGTCAAACGAGTCTTATTAAGGGAGTGACGCAGGGAACGCAAATGTCAACTGTTGAAGCGTAAATGTCACGTTAAGCAGCCAATATATGATGGCAGTCTCAACTTACAAGTGGGACAAGCAAAAAGAACTGTCAACGCTTGCCTTCGTCTGCCTCCCTCGAACGATGGAGCTCTTAGTACTCTTCTTCGCCCTCACCTCATTCTTCGACATCTCCTTCTCCCAACGCTACAATGCCCTGTTCAACTTCGGCGACTCGCTATCCGACACCGGCAATGTCGTCATCTCCAGCCTGCCCTACGGCATGACCTATTTCGGCCGCGCCACCGGCCGCGCCTCCGATGGCCGCCTTGTCATCGACTTCATCGGTATTCGTCTGTCTCTCCACCCTTTTCCGCTATTTCTACGTACGAATTGCTTGTTCCTAATCTTGCACTCTGCTTGTCGTAGCTGAGGGGATCGGACTGCCGCACCTGCCGCCGAACACCGCCAGGAACGTGAGCTTCCACCAGGGGGTAAACTTCGCCTTCATCGCGGCGCCGGCGCTTCCGTTTGAGTTCTACCACGAGCGACGCCTCAGCAAGGGCCTCTGGGTGAACGCCTCCGTCCACCAACAGGTGGATCGGTTCGAGAAGCTGCTTCCTTCCGTCTGCGGCACGCCGCAAGGTCTCATGTGACGCGATGTCGTGTCCCGATTTCATCGTCATGATCATACATGTGTTCATCAACCCACCATGAAATTGTTTGGGATGCAGATTGCAAGGATTTCTTGAGCAAATCTCTTGTAGTCTTCGGCGAGTTTGGCGGGAACGACTACAACACCGGGATCTTCGGCGGCCTGCCGGTATCGGAAGTGAGAAGCACCTTCGTGCCCCGAATCACCCAGGCAATTGCGGAGGGTGTTGAGGTGAGTTGGGAAAGAAGTGTTCTGTATCTTGAATCGGTGGGTCTAAGAATCCCTGTGTCGATATGTACAGAGATTAATCGGCCTCGGCGCGGTGGATCTCATCGTGCCGTCGGTGCTGCCGGTGGGCTGCTTCCCGCTGTACCTCACGCTTTACAGCTCCTCCAATCCGGAAGATTACGGCCCCAGGTCAGGGTGCGCGAGGAAGTTCAACGCCTTGTCCTGGTACCACAACGCGCTTCTCCTCCGGCAGCTCAACAGGTTCCGCCACAAGTACCCGGCCGTGTCGATCCGCTACGCCGACTACTACGCCCAGGTCTTCGACTTCGCTTTGAATCCTCTCAAATATGGTGAGTCTGCTCTTCTCAACCAGCCGTGTCCTACGTACTTCCCTTAAGGATCTCGACCATACATCTATCCGAAACGTAAGATATAGATTTGACGGACAAGATTATGGCTGCGTTTGAAAGTAGTTTTCAATCAAAATACGATCCGCACAAGATAAGGTGATTCCAAACCCTGTAACTTCGCAGGATTCAAAGATGGAGCCTTGAGAACCTGTTGTGGGGCTGCGGGAATGGGCAAGTACAACTTCAATCTGCGCGCCAAGTGCGATCAGAATGGGTCGAGCGTGTGTCCAGACCCAACCACGCATGTGAGTTGGGACGGGATCCATATGACGGAAGCCGCGCACCGCATCATCGCCCAGGGTTGGCTGCATGGCCCCTACGTTAATCCACCCATTTTGAGCTTCATCAACCCTCATTAAGACTGCCATTTCGTCGAACAGATTGGAGAAGAAACGTTCATCGATGCTGGAAGAGAGGCACCCCATGCTTGAAATTATAGTCACAATAGATGTTTGTGGGAGATGATATAGGAAAAAAGATGTACTTGCAGCATGAATTAAGTTAGTGCCAAAGTAGAAGATAAATGTCTCATCCACTTGTGCAAAATCCTACAAATCTACAGTGTCTCATCCACTGTTCTATAGCCATCAAAAGAAGATATATAAATGACAGTGAATCAGTCGCTGATAGTAGCAGACTTCTCTGCTCCTCGTGTCACAGTAGAAGCATGTGATCCTCCTTATTAATGTTCACTGGACAACCACCTAAAGGTCGCACAGACATGGACGACTCGATCGTCAAGCCTTTCACATGCAACTGCTGCAACACTAGGGAGGAAGAGCCCACAAGTAAAGAACAAAGTGGAGTCATAAAAGGCAGTGCGACACGGCACAAGCTCGAAGAACATCACATGGCTTCGCGTTCCGCACCTCCATCCATGGGGCTCTCAACTTTGTTCCTCCTCATTCTCTCATCCTCTTTCTGTCCCTCCCGTTCTCTGCACTACGACGCCATCTTTAGCTTCGGCGACTCGCTCTCCGACACCGGAAATGTCCGAGTCGCTGGCCTGCCCTACGGCATGACCTTCTTCCGCCGCCCCACTGGCCGCTGCTCCAATGGCCGGCTGGTCATCGACTTCATTGGTACGTGATGGTCTCTCTCTCTCTCTCTGAATTTGCACGCCATGATGCAAGAGTTATCTACAACGACTTGTGTATTCGTGATTCGGTAGCTGAGGCGGTGGGGCTGCCATTGCTTCCGCCGTCGGCAGCAAAGGGCAAAAACTTCCGGCGAGGCGCGAACTTCGCCTACACAGCCGCCACCGCGCTGGACTTCGGCTTCTTCAACCGCCGGGGACTCGGTAGCAAACTCTGGGTCAATTCCTCCTTGAGCAGCCAAGTCAGGTCGTTTGAGAAGATGATGCCTTCACTTTGCAGCTCCACCCAAGGTGCGTCAACGTGTTTCTGATTCAAGCTACATCCGCGGTGAGAACTAAAAGACTCCATCAAACTGCTTGCAGCCTGCAAGGCCCACCTCAGCAGGTCTCTTTTTATAGTTGGAGAGTTCGGAGGCAACGACTACAACACCGCAATCTTCGCCGGCAGAAGCATGGCAGAAGTAAACTCGTATGTGCCCAAAGTCATGCGTGCCATTAAATTGGGTGTCGAGGTTTGATTTGGCCAAGACAATCTTCTTCCTGTTGGTGTGGTGTCTGTCTGTGTAACGAATCATCCAAACTCTTGACAATGCAGAGGTTGATTGGCCATGGTGCAGTTGATATAGTGGTGCCCGGGATGCTACCGATCGGATGCTTTCCCCTTTACTTGACATTGTATGGCAGCTCCAACAAAAATGACTACACTGACATCGGATGCCTGAGGAAGTATAACGATTTCGCAGAGCACCATAATTCTTTCCTCCAACGAGTCATCTATGGTCTTCAGAGGAAGTATTCTTGGACAAGGATCAGATACGCAGATTACTATAGCCCGACCCTCCGGTTTGCATCTAATCCTACAAAATATGGTGAGACTTCCTTTATGTGATGTTGGCTACATGATATATCTTCTCGTCAGAGGTCTAAGGACATTGAATGGTCCCGTCGTCTATGTCAGCTCCAGGTTGGAGAAGCATCACTTTTGCATGCAAAAGTGACTCCAACCACTGCTGCTTTTTTGTTCTCTTCACCTTCTTTGTGATTCCGTCTCCTTCAAAAGTTGAGCCAACTCATTTCATTTTCACAAAGTTCAATTATTACATGATCATATTTCTGGGGAAGAAGACACTCATCATCATGCATGTAAAGCAGATTCCCATGATGCCCATCGCAAGGGTTCTCGCAGGAAGAGGACAGCATGAATAATTCGCAGACCGGAAGGCATAAGAAATCTCAATAGAAGGGCATTAAAAATGCACAATTGGTGGTCGATCTATGTCACCACCAGCTGCATCTTTCTTTTGCACTGCGAATTCAGCTGCATCTACTGTTATTTACAGGCTTTACTGGTGGAGCTCTGAAGGCGTGCTGTGGGGCGGGCGGGAGCAGCAAGTACAACGTCAACCTCGACAAGGTGTGCGCCAAGCCAGGCTCAAGCGTGTGCAAGGATCCCTCAACCTACGTCAGCTGGGATGGCAGTCACTTGACGGAAACTGCTTATAGCCTCATCGCCGACGGTTGGCTTCGAGGCCCCTACGCTAAACCATCCATCATGCAGTGGAGTTAAGAGTCAAAGGCCACTGTCTCGTGAAGCTGTATCTACCAACATAAACGTTGTAATCCCAACGACTGCACTTATGATCTGGAAAGAGTCTCTATGCAGAGCTTGTAATAGCCAGGTTGAAATGATACATGCTCTGTTTTCATGGGAGGCAACCCATGATGATGTAGTTTTGGCAGGAACACCTACCATTTAGTAACTCATTAATCGTCTCATATACGATGGATAAGAGCTGCATACAGTAGCTGGTTCCAGGTATCGGGTAGGCCAGCAATACACCAATGGCTGCAATCATTCGTAGAGTTGACGCCATTATACTTGGATGGGTGAGCATCCTTCCGAAGCTGCGAGAGATAGCTGATGTCAAACAGGTACACTGGCTTCGTCATGTTACTCAACAGCTTCTTCACTATGGCTTCCTGTGGAACTGGACCTGCGTAGTATGCTGATGGATTCGATGGCTCTGTTTGTCCTTCACAGGTGCTTCCATTCTCACCCCACTCTTCTCCACTGGCCATTTTATCATCGAAGCCAACAAGTCAAACGATGCAGTGTCTCAAGCACACGTTACTCTAGCTGTTGACTTACCCGATGTGAACCGGGGAGATCCCTTGGAAGAAGACTCGGGTGGTGGAAGGGTTGACGTTTGACTCGACCCAGTTGGCCCAGGTCGACACTGCTTTGGAGAAGGCCGCAGTCCTGTCCATGTCCTTAAGTGTCCGGTTGCCATCTCGCACGTAGTCCCATCTGCTTCCACGACACAAACTTTCTACGTTTCAGTCGCCATGGTTTAGAGTTGGCACCAAAACAGGGGAGAAGGAGACGTCGGCCGTAACATCACGTACTGTTGATGGACGCCGGTGGCCGGCCACCAGTGCCACGTGTTGAATATGAGGACGTCTGCGATGAGCCAGTCGGCCCCACTTCTTATGGTGTCCAGATTTAGCACTCGCCCAATCTTCTCCACCACCACGTCCACCAAGTAATGCGACATGTAGTACATCACTGTCACGTTGTATTCCTGCAAAGTTCGATCTTACGTTCCTATTATTCATCTTGTTATTTTCCATATTTAATATAAAGATATATGATGATGATACGTTGTATCTACATGCACTGCAACCTCAAAAACGACTCCCCAGAGGAAGTCGTGTTGTGATCTGATGAAGGTGGAGTTGGGGGAAGCCGCATGAAGCAAACACAGCAACGAATCATACTGATTCACACTCAATGAGTCTCCCACGAACATTATCTTCTTCCCTTCCAACCTCTTCATCAAGTCCACACCATCAAACCTGCATGCATACATTTCGACACACTTTTGGTACATTATACGGCGTGCCGGGAACCAGAAGCGAAGGACCGACCTCGGAAGGTGGCATGGGCCGGCGGGCTGCCACCGGAACTTGAGGTAGGATGTGTCGGGGCGGCCGAAGCGGAGGCAGTCGAAGTCGCCGTGAATGAAGGGGCAACTCCATGAATCGTAGAGCGGGTACGACTCGTCGTAGAGCCAACTCCCGTTGAATACGTTGCAGGCCATGGCCATGGAGGACATCAGCAGCACAACAACACTGATCATGGTTTCGATATTGAATCCGACGAAGGTGCATGACAAGGATATGATCCGAGAGGCTGGGGTTGACTGTAGGAGCTACACACATGCAAATACCTTTCACAGCATTTAAGGTGGTGGGTTTTTCTTCGATGGATTTAAGTTGATGAATGACACAGGATCATCTTTTTCTTTGATGGATCTATAAAGGTGGTTGTTTTTTCTTCGATGGATTTAAGGAGATCACTTTTATTCCTCACCCTATGTTAGTAGCATTGTGTTTTCTCCCATAGCATGATTACATCCTTTCTCTGGCACACAGGCATTTCAGGAAAGGAACTGAGGTCACCTTGACATCATTTAGGATCATCTTCCAATGAGACTGTGTTAATTAAGAAACGACTACTTATGGTACTGCAGCCAATATGAGTTATTACCATTTACAAGGTTAACATATTAATCATCTCATATGGAATGGACAAGAGCTGCGTACAGGAGCAGGTTCCATGTGTCTGGCAGGCCACCAACGCACCAATGGCTGCAATCGTTGCGGAAGTTGATGCCATTATACTTGGATGGATGAGCATCCTTCCGAAGCTGCGAGAGATAGCTAATGTCGAACAGGTACACAGGCTTCGACATGTTGCTCAGCTGCTGCTTCACTATGGCTTCTTCTGGAATCGGACCTCCGTAGTATGCAGATGGACTCGACGGCTCTGTTTCTCCTTTACAGGTGCCACCATTCCTGCCCCACTCTGTTCCTCTGATTCAACGAACGAACACAAGCGGTCAGTGTTACCAAACAAATCATCTACGGTGCAGTTGACCTGTCTCATACAATGCATCATTTATGGTTCTTACTTGTAATGGGCTGGTGAGATCCCTTGGAAGAACACTCGCGTAGTGGATGAATTGATGCTCGAGTCTACCCAGTTTGCCCAGGTCGCCAATGCTTTGGAGAAGGCCACAGTCCTGTTCATGTTCTTCACTGTCCGGTGGCCATCTCGCATGTAGTCCCACCTGCATTCACCACAGGACAACATCTGTATCCGTTGCATAATTCATGAAAACAATGAGAGAGAGAGAGAGAGAGAGAGAGAGACGGAAGGGAGGGGTGGTTGTTGGCTTGTCACGTACTCTTGACGGGATCCTGTGGATAGCCACCAGTGCCATGTGTTGAAGATGAGCACATCGGCGGTGAGCCAGATGGATCCACCAATTTGTACGGAGTCCAGCTTTAGGACACGTCCTATGTTCTCTTTCACGATGTCCACCAAGTAATGAGAGTTGTAGTACATCACCGTAACGTTGTAATCCTGAAACAATGTTTGATCTTTAGCTATTTTCTTGCAACTTCTATTCATGAGCTAATTGTGTTGGCCTGTAACGCAACTAAGATACATGAACTCAACGAAGGTCAACTCCCGTGCTGGTTCTGATCAAGTGCTTCCACTCTATATATACTATCATTTCATTCCACTACTTCCTCCTATCATTCATTCATCAGGATTGACAAGTGCCATCGATGAGGATCATGTCAATTCGTCCTATGGCCCGTTCTCATGATTAAAGTTTTAGCATGTACTCACACAGGACTAACCATCATTAATAATCGGTATGATATGATACGTGCCGCAAGAAGAAGGGGAAGAAGAAACCTCAAATGTTACTGCAGAGAGGGAGCGATTATCGGAGGAGAAGGAGAGGGTGGCGTTGGGCACAGCCGCATGGAGCAAACACAGGAACGAAAGGTACTGATTCAAAGTCAATGAGTCTCCCACAAACATCACCTTCTTCCCTCCCAACGTCCTCATCAGCTTCACACCATCAAACCTGTTCGCGGATACGCCATCTCCCAAGTAAGTCAAGCCAACAGAGAGAAGACGAAGGCTCATAAAAGCAATCAGCCACCAACCTGGGGAGATCACATGTCCCAGCGGGCTCCCACCGGAACTTGAGGTACTTGGTGTCGGGCCGGCCGTAGCGCAGGCAGTCGAACTCCTTGCGAACGAAGGGGCAACTCCGCGAATCGTAGAGCGGGTACGACTCGTCCTCCACCCATCTCCCGTTGTACAAATCGCAGTGGGCTCCCACGCCCCACGCCGAGGCCATCACGAACACCAGCAGCAGCATCACACCGATCATGGTTCCCATCTCGGATCCCACAGCGACAGGACGACAAGAAGGAGAGACTGGTGCAACAATGCGATGAATGCCATGGAAGATAGTGGCGGGAGGTCTTTTGTAGTCGAACTCGCACCGAAGCTTACGTACAGTGTCTCGATGGAGGTGAAATCTCCATGGGAAACAACCTCCTTCCTTCCTTCCTTGTATTTGTGGTTAGGCAAATCCGTGGAATTAGTATGGATATTATAAAGTACAACTCAATTAGAGGAAGAAGGAAACGCTGCCTGCGTTGGATGCAAGTTGTGGCTTTCCGTATCTTCCCATTAGGGCGTGGAATAAGACACTGCCTACGTCCCTTCGTGCGCTCGATCCATTCCCTTCTTATGTGTGCCGCTAAAAGACGGCAAAATGTTCGTGAATCATGTCGTTCTTGGTTGGGGTATGGAGGTGTATTTGGCGCATATATTAAGTAATTAATCCATACGATTCGCCTATCGCATCACATTCCCTTTGTGGCGCATTTATGGCATTTATGTGTACGCAAAAACGTACTATTCCATTCCAAAAATGCAATGGAGTGATATTTGCTCAGGGGTTGGAAAGATTGTTACGACACTAGTGGTTTGAAATCGAACTAAAAAAAAATAAATTAAATTTAAATCGAATCTGATTTATCTAAATTGATTTACAAATGGTTTGATTTTAAAGTCTATAAATGATTCTGATTCAGAGTATCATTCTTTGATTCAATCAATAACTGAACTAAATTGATTTAATTTAAAAGATATCAATTTGATTGCGTTCATTATCGTAAGCCTTTAAGCGGTTTAAATTAATTAATCAAATTAGTACAAATATCTTATTTTATAAATAATATGGGCTCAATTTCATAAATGTTGTTGTGCCGTCCAATTGTACCAACATTCTAATTCGATCTAATTCGATCCAATTGAATTGTATTGATTTATTTTAAATATATATTTAAATTATTTAAAATTATAAATCATTTAATCGATCTTGAATCAGTCTGGTTAGATACATCCAAATCGATTTTGACTTGGACTATCTTATTTTAACTGATCAAATAAGAAAAACTGATTCAATTAGGTTCGAATAACACCTATAATTTTATATAGGTAGGATTTAATCATATTTATCAATTTAATAAGTTTAGTATTATTAAATAATATATTTAATATATTTTTGAAGATAGGATTTAATCATATTTATTAATTTAATAAGTTTAATAATATTAAATAGTATATGTTAAATCTTGGATTTTGGATGATAAATTTAATTGATGAATTAATAATCTAATCTATGTGTTGAGATAAGTGATTCAGAACTAACTACGATCGTGAAATAGGTAAAACAATTAAAAAAGAATCCAATATTAGGTCGGAGTAAATAATCGGGTATCGGGCCGAATGAATCGGGTGATACACCGAAGAATCGAACGATATAGTGAAAGCTCATTAGGAGTTCATCAAAAGCTTACAGGAAGTTCGCCGAAAGCTAATCGGAAGATCGCCGAAAGTTCATCGAGAGTTCGGTTGAACAACTGACGTGTCAGACAACTTAGATTCCTTATATCATAATTATTTTAGCCTTAACTATCGTAGTTAGGACTTTAATTTAAGTTAATTTTGGAAAAAATCCTACTAACTTGGAGTCATTCAGCCACTTGGAGTCACATCAGGCGGTGGCATTGCCCTGATGGAACTACTTGAAGCTCAGCCTCTCAAGTGGTCTGGGCGGTGATATTATCGGTAGTAAATGCTGCCAAGCGGTGGTACCGCCTTGTCAAGCGGTGGTACTGCCAAAGCTCAGTCTCCGAGGCTCTGTCAGCCGGTTGTACCGCCCAGTGTCAGTTTGCAAGTGGTGGTATTGCCCAGTACTAGTGGTGGTACCGCAAGTATCCTAGAATCTCGGGATGAGACAGTTTTTGGCTCTATTTTTGAAGTCATTGGGGCCTATAAATACTCCACTCTTTTATGCATGAAAGAGCATGAAATGTGTGAACAGAAGTCTTGAGATTTTGGTTGTAAAAGTGTTGAAAAAGTACTAAGTGTCCTCCTCCTTCTTTAGCTTTGTGATCAATCTAAGAGAGGTGTGAGGCTTGTAAAAGGTTATCTCCTAAACCTGTAAAAAGGAGAAAGATTTATAAGAGGATAGTTGGTCTTTGTTCATTGAAGGAAGACCGATAGTGGACACCGGTGGCCTAAACGAAGGAGGAATCGAGAGTGGACGTAGGTCATGATGACCGAACCACTATAAAATTGGTGTGCACTTTCTCGTTGCTCTTCATTACTATAGTTTTCTGCCTTAATTGCTTATCACTCTTATTCTAAGTCAAGGATATTTTCAATATCTTTTCTGTTATGTTTTTATCAAGCCGAAAGTTTTGAATCGACTTAATTTTTATTATTACACTAATTCAAACCCCCTACTCTTAGTATCATTAACGACCTTAACAATTGGTATCAAAGTAAGGTTACTTTCTATTTGGTTTAAAACCCAAGAGAGATGACTTCTGCTAGCAATCAAGAGGGTCTTTCTATCACTCGTCCTCCTATGTTCAATGGGACGGACTACACGTATTTGAAAATTAAAATGAGAATTTTCTTGCTTTCTATTGATTTCAAATTATGGAACATTATTAAAAGCGGTTTTGAGAAGTCTTCTAAACCAATGAACTAATGAAATGATTTGAAAAAGAAGACTTTATCTTTGAATGCTAAAGCAATAAATGTTTATTTTGTATTCTTAACAAAAACGAATTTAATCGGGTTTCTATATGCGAAACTACATATGAGATTTAGCACACACTTGAAGTCATACACAAAAGCACAAGGTTAAAGAGTCAAAAATTAATCTTTTGGTTCATAGCTATGAGTTGT